ACACACATGCACACACACACACACGCTCGCACACAAACAAGTAGTATCATAGAGATGATCATACTAAGTGAAGTAAGCCAGACAGAGAAAGACAAATATCATATGATATCACTTATATGTGGAATCTAAAATACGACACAAATGAACTTATCTACGAAACAGAAACAGACTCACAGACATAGAGAACAGACTGGTGGTTGCCAAGGGGGAGGGGGTTGGGGGGAGGGATGGACTGGGAGGTTGGGATTAGCAGATGCAAACTAGTATATATAGGAAGGATAAACAGCAAGGTCCTCCTGTACAGCACAGGGAACTATATTCAATATCCTGTGATGTTTTATCACAGGATATACATGTATATACACATGAATATATACGTGTATATATATATATATGTGTGTGCGTGTGTGTATAACTGAATCATTATACTGTACAGCAGAAATTAACACAACATTGTAAATCAACTATACTTCAATTAAAAAAATTAAAACAAACAAAAAAAGTATTTATCATGTAGGAAACCCTACATTTGACTTCCTACTCGTATGCTTACAAACTTACATGCAGGTGCACTGTCATTTCCTCCTGTCCTCCTGCATTCCTAGAGGAGATGTCTGGCTTCCTCAGTGACCTTGTTCTATCAGTCATCCCCTGTATGAATTACATCTTCAACCATTAGAACTCTTTCCTGGCTTCTTCCTATCATGACCAAACATTTCCCATCTTAAAAAAAAAATTAGTCAATCGATCAGTTCCCTTCTCCATTCGTTTTCTGTTATTATCATCTCTCCTCTTCAAAGCCAATTTTGTTAGGTACGACACTTTTTACATCCACTTTGTCATAGGACATTCACTGTCTTGCTCTTCCCCCTAAAACGGCCCTATCAGAGTGGCTAGTGACCTCTGTGTCACGAAATCCAATGGCTTCTTTTCAAAACTCATCTTAACAGACTGGCCTCTCTTGAAACCCTCTCTTGCTTTGGTGTCTTTGGAAACCTCACACTCTTGATTTTCCTTTTATGTCTATAGTTATATTTTCCAATCTTTACTTTAGGTTCCTTTTTCTACCCATTCTTTATTTTCAAGGATCTCTTCACTCGAAGCACATTTTCTGGGTAACATGAGTTTAATTCCATGACGATGACTCCAAAATCCATTTCCACCTAAAAGCTGTCTTATGAGCTCCAGAAACAGACATCCAAATATTTATTGATTATCTCTATTTGGATGCCTCACAGACATCTCAAACTCAATGTGTACAACACTGCACTCAAACTCTTTCCTGCCAAATTTGATTCTCTTTCCTCTGGTTCAGAGCTCAGCAAATGATACCTCAGGCCATTGAGTGCTAGGAACTTAAGAGCTACCTTTAACTCTTTCCTCTCCTTCTACTCTGACATCCAGTGAGTTACTAAGTCCTGTGTATTCTACCTCTTTCAAATTTGTCAAATTTGTTAACTCTCCATTCTTATTTGCACACCTTGGGCACATGTCAACTTGATTTTGTGCTTGGACTCCTGAGTCCTGGTCCCTGTTTCCCAGTTCTGTCTCTCTCCAGTGCATTCTCCACCTATATCCAGAGTGATCATGTCACTCTCCAACTTAAACTTTTTAGTTTACATCTATTGCCAGCAGGATGGAGTCCCAGCTACCATAGCTGGTGACATCGCTCCACCTTATTTGTCCAGGATCATTTTCTCTACTCTCATCTCTCTTCATGCATCCCTGTCCTACTGAACCATCTGTAGTTCCCCGAATTTGCCATATCCTGCTACCCATGAGCTTTGTACATGCTGCCCTGTTAGTCTGAAACTCCCCCCTCCATCTTATTTTTCACTTGGCTAATTCCCATGTGTCCTTATGTCTCCATTCAGAGGTTTCTTCCACTTTCTCTGACTCCTACCGTGGGTCAGTTTTCTCTTTGTGTCCCCATAGCACCTTGTAACAAGGATGATTAGCATAGCTGTTGCTAATAACATTTGAGCACTTATTTGATGCCAGAACCTGTGCCAAGCAGGCTACATATCTTAACTCATCTAATGCTCACAACACCTTACGAGGTAATTAATATTTCCTCAGATAAATAATCCAAGCTACAGAGAAGTTACATAATTTTCCCAAGGTTCCACAACTAGTAAGTGACACAGTAGATTCTGAACTCAGGCATCTTATTGAAGACTTTACAAACTTGTAATCTCTTGCTTGTGTCTAACTTCCTAATTGGACCCTAAGTTCTTAGAAGGAAGTTGTATCCCTAGCACCCGACACAGTGATTGTCACAAAGTGTGCTCCCAATAACTACTATTTGAATAACTAAAAGAACAAGGTGGCACGTGGCTCAAAGAGGAAAGAGTTCTTGCCTAAAGTCAGATTTACCCTGATTACCCTGATATCACCTTCAGTGTCTGCCGTCGTGATGTTTTGCCCCAAGAATACCAAATAACTTGCTGTCATCTAATCACCCCATAGAATTTCATTTCCCGTCCCATTCACCTCATGTACATTTCCCACTCTTGTCCGGCTGGTAAACTCATATTCATCCTTCCACATCAAGCTCAGAATTCACTTTATTCCTGAGGGTTCCCAATCTTCATTGTAGATTCTAAATTTTAGTTCCTCCATACTTTATACATTTGAACATCACCATCATCAACAACAACAACATTAATTTAGGCCATCATATATTTTTTTTAACCAATGGTCCATTTTCTATTCATCTTTGTATCCCTAGTACTTCAGTGTTGTGCCCAGCACTCAGAGGGTGGTCAAAAAATGTTTGATATATTGATCGAACAGAATTAGGTTGGGTTTTGTTTCTGTAGATTACCACGGGGATATCTCAAACTCTGATACATCATGGCAGTTTAGTTGGCTCCTACAATGGCCAAGAATCGATTACTATTGGAGTTGTCCAACACTGGCATATTGGGAGACATGAGAAGAGGATATCACAATACCTTATGCCTGTTTCACTTTCCTGATCTGATCAAGGGTTTGGCAAAGGATATGTTACCTTTTCAAGTGTCATTCAAGTTGTGCCCACCAGATAAGTCACAAACATTTTAGGAAGGCAAGTCTATTTTCATTTAGAGATGGACTAAAGAGGCCAAAGAATTCTGTGCAAATTTATAAGATGTCAAACCACCAACCCAATCTTGTAAGGGGAAAACAACTGTAAAATCTCCCAAAGTGTTATTTTTCCTGTCACTTCTACTTTAGTCCCTTTGTATTTCACTGGGGTCTTAGCACTTATTTTAGTTTAGTGATATCATATCTGAGCTTTCTAAATGTTCTACGTAATTACTGGGTCTTACTCCTCAAGCACACACCAAACTGCCAGATTAAGTTTCTCAAAGCACTGCTTTGATCAAGTCATTTCTCTGCTCAAGGACTCTCAGTGGCACCTGACTATGGAATTAGGTGGGAACTCTGAGTCCAGATTTGCCTCCAGATGTTCTGCCACAATTGATTTGTGTAGAGCCTGACCCATGACACACATCTAGTAAGTGCTTTTGATGTTTTCATTGATTTTTCCATTGTGTTTTTGAAAGTGAAATCAGAAAACCTAGTTGAAGGAAAGTTCCATTTTGTGTCTTTCATTATTATCAATACTGGCAAATTATTAAGAGTAGATGCCTCTTGTTAAACAAAGATGCCACACGGTAAACAAAGTAAAGGCTACATACGTTAGAGAAAGCATCTTCCCAGGGGTCCCATATCCTAAATAAAACAGGCACATGAAGATATGACAGGTAATACACTTTAGGGAAAGATAAGTGGTATTTTCATTAATGACAACTTATAGAGATTTCCAGGAGGACCAAAGTAAGTAACTTCACAGCTGAAAGCTAACTCATTGCTTCTCAACTGAACTTCTAAGAGGAGTATTCAGCCATGAGCATAATTAAACAAGTCCACAAGACATGAGAAAGGGATTACCCTGAATATGCTGGGTCAAGCAAACCAGGTGGCCAAGAACACGATGTCCTCTGCTTGAAAACCACCATTCAGTTGCCAGACTCTGCTGCTCTCTGGGCTCTCCCATTCTGTTTCTGGCCTTTGTCTCTTGCTCTCTCTCCAGTGCCCTTTCTTGGTTTAGATTTTATGTCCTCATCATCTGACACATCAAAGGATTAAAGAGTTCAAAGCCCTTCATGCTGCCAGTATTTTATTTAGTTAAAATCAACAAAAATGAAAACTTGTGCCCATTTTCCTCTTTGCAAGAAACCAAAATGCAAAATCAAGATGAAAGCACAAGAAGATCTGTGCTGTTCAAAATTAAAACTCATGTCTTCACATATGTATACTCTGTGACAAACTGCACCACTGGATTTTATGAAACTACTTCAATATTGCTAATTAAAATGCTCGAGACACTAACGAATTCTCAAATCAACCTCTGCCACTTTGTTGTACAAATGGAACATTGGCAGATTTTCTTTCAATATCCAAAACACCATTTTTGGAACAAATTTGAAGTTTTGATTCATTCAACAATTGTATCGAGTACCTACTATGTGTCAGACGCTATAGTGGGTGCAGAGCAAGCAAAATGGGATGATTTTCTGATTTCAGAGGAATTCCGGTCTCTAAAGCAGTGCTTCTCAAACTACTTTTATTCATCTGTGCCCTCTTTTGATAAACACAAGTATCCTTCTCCAATTTCCCAGAAAGTCTAATGAACGCTCCAACACTAAGAATTACTGATACACAGAACATAGACTCAATTTTCTGTGTATCCTTCATAGACCAAAAGTCTTTGAGCTTTTACTTTTTATTTCAAAAGCAACACATTTATTTTCCATACACAAAACTGGATTGGAATATTAAATATCCTTTTCTGAACCACATATGCTAACCCCCCACCCCGGAACTGAAATTGAAATGCCTGCTTAGAATCACTGTTTGAGAATCACTGCTTTAAAGAGTTTTGGAGAAAAACCAGGCAAGCTCCCTCTCTCCCATCCAATCAAGTCTTAAAGGAATTAGAATTTTCCTACCTGACACAACAGCTGGTGGAGTATCATAATCCTGTCTTGGGACTGAATCTTTGAATGAAAAGAGCATGAGAAAGAATGCAATGAAGTACAAAAGAAAATAAAATAGAATTTTAGCTCTAAAACGTGGAAGTGCCCACTGTATGTCACATGGTACCTAAGGCTCCTGCCTTCAAGCACTCAAGGAGGCACTCTGACCCCTTGACAGTTGACAGTTGACACAACGGTCCCCACAACCACCACTGTGGACGTGTCGTTAGGCCCCGTATGACCTGCGAGGACAGCATCATCTGTCCCAGAGTATTGTCATCTTCCTCATCTTTCATAACTTTGGTCCCTCCCTTGGGTCACCAACTTGCAATATGTACCCTCTTTGGCTGACACAAAAGTTCTACAAAGTGGCCCGTCAGGAAGGGGACCAAAGTGCAATGTGAAACCCCAGTGCTGGAGAACAAAAGAAATAACTACAATTTCAAAAGAGATAAATGAAAAATTTGCACATTCCCAAATTCTATGGAGGCTGACATGTTTTGAAGCTAGAATTTTGTTATTGACCACTCATCTCAGGCTCTGTCCCCAGTGGTCGAGGCCAAGGAGCTTCGTGTGCTGGTATCGTGAGGACACAGATCAATAGAACAGAATCTATTCAACAGATGGCTGCTGTCTTTTTCCAAAGTGTCATAAAACTGGAGGTGGCAAATTGTAGATCGAGGTTAATTAAACAACATGACAACCATTTCAAAAGTTGGGGTGATGTGGGACCAAATATAACTGCTTTTTTAAAGATGAAAAAGAGGCTTTGGCTTAATATCATTTCTTTAGCCGGGGATCTTACAAAGGAAAGTGGGACATGGCCCCACTTCTAAAAATGGAAAGTTCTAATTTCTCCAGCTCCCCTTGGAGGGTAAACTGTGTAAAAGGGACCGGGTATTGCTCATATTCAAATAAACTGCCCAAACATGGTTAAAAGGATGCTTTTGCATGACCCTCATTCCATTCATATGATCATTATTCCATTTTAAAAACTAAAACCTCAAACTTCACTTGTCCACCTACTTGGTAACTTAATTTGGACTATCACGAATTTATCCGTTTCATCTCCTTGCCACAAAAGGACAATGTTGATCACTCTCCCATGAGTGAATGGTGTGTGAAAAGACAGATTAGAACTTGAACAATGCAAGGCCAGCCAAGCAAGCATTGATCAAAGATTCAAATGCAAGTAAACCTTAGGCATGAGTTATTCTGTTTCTCAGAACAGGTATGTGAACTAGTGACTTGATTATAATCCCCAAATCTAGAATATATAAAATCATTTTCAAGGGGTCTCCAAATATTTTATTAATACTGGTAGTAACTCTGATTATCTTTTAAAAAACTAAGCACACATTATTACTACAAACAAACAAGACTGTGACACTAGTCATTTTCCAAGAATATATTTATAACATTTTAGAATTTATAAAAAATCATGCTCATTGTTGAATTCTTGGAGAATGTAGAAAAGTATCATGATTAATATAGAAATTATCCCTAATCCCATCATCTAGAAACCATCACACTTGTTTGTACTTGTTATAGCCTTATTTCATAAATATTTTTTCATAGTTGATACGAACTTCACGCGTGCAAATTTACATCCTGCTCTTTTGGTTTAACATGATAGTTAATCCCTTCCTAATTATTTTATACACTTATAACTTCATGCTGCATTACATTCTAGTTTATGGATGGATTATGATTTATTTAATCTTCCTTATTAGACATTATAAAGAACACTGGGCTGAATATTTTTAAGATATATTTTCTGTTATTCTAGAATATTTCCAGAGAATAGGTCTTCAAAACTACAACTATTTGGTCGGGGAATAGAGCTATTTTTGAAATGTCTTTCAGGCCCACCCTGCTATCCAGTTGACACTTTCACAAATTTGGATTCCTACCATCACACTATCCATGCTTGAGAATGTATATCTCCCCACACCTTCGTCAGCAATGTGTATTATTTTAATAACTTTATTTAATGGGTTATATGTGTGTGTCTGTATTAGATTTACTGTTAAGTTGATCGTTTTTCATATGTTTTTTGGCTTTCTATTTCCTCCTTTATCAACTACCTGTTCATTTCTTTGGCATTTTATACATTGGTACTTTTGTATTTTTTGCTAATTTATTGGCATTCAGAATCTAGTTTTTAAACAGCAAAAGCTTACTATTTGCAAATAAACTTTCATAATACTAGACTTTCACTTAATGCCTACTTGTTTATTGTTTATATTGTACTAACTTCAAAAATTCACTTATCTTACAATAAGACTAAATGAATTTTAAAAAACTCTTCCCTTTCATCTATATTTTCTTTCTTGTATTTAACCATTTTTAATTGATTGATACTTTTTCCTGAAAAAACATTTCAGGAGATGTACTCATGACCACTTACGAATTTATGATACTGTTTCCTAATCACGAGTCCATTTAACATCGTGTATTGGTTTTTATCGCTCTGTCTTAATACTTATGTTCCTGGATAATAGTTGAAAATAGACAATCTCTAAGCAAAATGAATAATTCAGGATTTTCACCTGATACCATCAGAATTTCAAAGCAATACAGGAGGGATGGTGCCACTGAAAACTGTGAGAGAACTATGTTGAACAAGTCAAGAACAATTACAAGATTATCTCTGTGAGTGGCTAGGTTACACCACCAGAATCCAATGATGTCACAAATCACCAGTGGTCTGGAGACACAAACAGAACTGCAGATAAGGAGGCTGCAGAACAAAAGCTTTTTATTTCTTTCCACAGATCCTGGTGACATTGTAAGCCACTGGTGACCACCAACTGAACAAATGAAAAGGAGATAAGAAACTTGTAAAACCAGATTGTCATGCAATTTGGAGGTTCTCATAACACAGTAAAATCCCCAATGGTTTCTGCTAAAGCTTACAATAGACTGGTAAGAAATGACGGATAATAGGGCTTTGGTCCTTGAGGGAATCCTGTGACAAAAAATAAACAAAAGCAGAAAAGCTAGATACTTCTTCAAGGTCAGCAGAGCCCTGGAATAAAACCGTTATACTGCTTGCATAAAATTCATTTCTTTAAAGCGCTGCAGATTCTGTCCAGCTTAAAAATAGGCAAAGAATTGAACGATAAACATTTGAGGTGGCAAAGAATGGTTAATTAACCTACAAGGCATCCCTTTCAAAATGTGGGGTCATGGGGGACCAAATACATCTAATTTTATGAAGATGAAAAAGAGGCTTTGGCTCCGTACACTTCCTTTATTCAGGGATCTTAGAAAAGAGAACAGGACATAGTGTATGGCCTAAGGCACCCCTTCTGAAGATGGAAAATTCTAATCTATCTCCAGGTCCCATTAGCCTTGAACCCTGCTTACTTTGGTTACTCCCTGGATCTCTCTGCTCTGCCCCTGGAAACTATTTCTGGACTTGAGGTTCCTGTCTTAATCTTGACTTGTCACTGTTCACACCTTGTTGTGCAGAATTTCAGTGAGCTCAGATGTCTGAAAGCCTCTGGAAAATTATAGTAGGAGAGAGACGTGGTCGGAGAGTTTTAGATTGACTGGCTGTGGCAATATGGCTGGGAACAGACTGGAGTAAATTGAGATGGGAAACAGGAAGAACAGTTAGGGGACTATTACAGTTAATCAAACAAGGCCCAGGGCAGAGACTCTAGAATATGAAGGAAGGGATGTATTTGACAGATGTCTATGGGACTTGAATAGTAACTGTATGTGGCGGGACTTGAGAAGGAAAGGGTCTACACTGGGTCCTAAGTGTAGTGTTGGACTCCCCCGGTGAGTGGTCGTGGGTTCAGCTTGAGAGGGGACGGGAGCAGGACCCTATAAGAGGAAGGGTCAGTGGGGAGAAAGCTTGGGAAGCTCATGAGATTAGTTTGGGTCATGTTGACTTCGAGATGTCAGAGGGAGAGTCACGTGGAAATATTTAGCAAGTGGTTGGACAAATGACTAAAATTCTAAAATGGTCTAAAATTCTAAGACAAGGTTAGCCCTGAGGACTCAGATATAAGAGTCTTCGTCATAGAAGGCAGAGTTCAAAACCATCGAAGTGGAGGAGCTTGTTGAGGAAATCATATATGAACGAGAAGTAAGTTTAAAAACTTATTTAGCAGCCTAAGAAAGAAAAGAAGCAATGGCCAGAGAGATCAGAGGAGGACCAGGAAAACCTTGGGGAGGAGTCACAAGCTGACAGCTCTTAGGAAAATTGGGTCCAATATGCAAACATAGGGAGATTTCCCATTAAAATCCAAGTAGTTTATCTTGAAAAACTGGAAGTTTTCCGTATCTCATGCCATGAACACTCACAACACCCCTGGGATATAAACATTACTTTTCCCATTTTGCAAAAGAGGAAATAAAAGTTCAGAGAGGTCAAGTAACCTGCCTAAACATGCACAGCTAATAAGGGGGCAGAACCAGGCTTTAAACTCAAATTCAACACCCACTGTTCTTTCCATGATACCAGGCCACCTTCCCAGCAATGGATAAAGTGTGTTGAAAAGATGTAATAAGGTGGTGAAATCTGATTAAAAGAATCAAAAGAATCAATAAGAGCCACTCCAAATGCCAATCAAAAATTCAGATAAAATGAATCTATTATATTATATCAAAGTGTAAGAGTGAGTTTAAGAAAAAAGTATAACTTCCTGCTGGACACTCAACATTGTCAGTGATATTTCGTTGAATAAGTCTGAAAATTAATACTGTTTTCTCTCTGCCTTTTCAGAACCTTATGAAACTTTAAACCTTTGCAAAACATCAATTTACATAAAGCTTATAATGTTTTTAAGCATTAGTACAAATGTGAAGGAGGAAAATAATTTTTAAAAAAGCTAAAAGAAATTTGATGTTAAATATAAGCCACATGCTTAAAACCTTTGCTTTCTGAGAAAGAAAAGGGGATATATCATTATTGAATACTTTGGCTATTACCAGCTGGGCAAAAATTGTGGTCTTGTATAAACGAATCCTTTTTGAAAATACTCAAACACTAGTCATAATAGACATTATTGAATCAATAAGTATTGTACTTCTGACACTGTTCTATATAAATTGAGCTTATTTTTCAATTTCTTAAAGGATTCAGTCATATTCTCAATTAACTTAGGTCATATTTTTCCTAGTTTCCTCCAAATTTGAATTTCAGTGAGTCAGCTGGCTTTGCTTTTGATTCAAATGAGTAGAATTTATAAAGTGTTTCTTTTTATGCTTTGCCTTACAACTCCCTCCTTTATCGGATTACAATTTGTCATTCAATACAGTAAAAGTGCATTACTTCATTTATTCATAATTTGTGATCATTTAAGTAGGGGAAAGCAGATATAAAGGGAAATCCGTAGTGGGACATGAGAAACTTCAAGCCTTCCAATATTGTCCTGGGATCTGCTTTATTAATAAATGAGAAAAGTGACTACAGATAATCTTCACACATTACTAAAAGCTACAGAAATAGTATCTTCAAATTCTAATGAAAATTAGCTGTACCACACTGTAAAATTAAACATAGTCTTAGACATGACTTTTAAAAGTCTAGTTCAGAGACCTAAAGAATCATTTGATCTAGTCTAAGCGTTCAGACACACAGGTGTCATCAAATGCTTTTTATAGGTTCAGCAACTGAGGCCTTCTAGATGGGTACTTTGTTTATGTTCATAAAACTAAATTTCTTTATTGAAACAATGGGACTCTTTCCATTAGGTATACAGACTTCCCTCCTATTTAGAGTAGATTACTGAGACCTCAGTGCACATGTCAGAAACGTCTTAAATCCTCAAAAGCCTGTGAGTCAACACATCTATGTAGCAAGCAAGCCATTGCTTTAAGGTAAAATCTCCAATATACGGCTAATGTACCTAGTGTACTTAGATGTTTGGAGACGTTGCCAGCATAACTGAGAAGAATCACAGTAGTGGTGACTATGAGACATATAGGCATAAAGTCATAGAGGCATATGGTTGAAGGGGTCCCACAGATCTCCATGTTCGTTACTTCAACTGGATGGAGAGGGGCATTGAGATCAGGAGATGTTATCTTCCTAAGGACAGACAGAAGCAATAGGGCTCCATCAGGCTTTCTATAGTATTAAAGCTGTCTCACTCAGAAGAAGATACATGTTTTCCTCTCTCCATCTTTAAAAATGACAAAATTATCTTCATTAACATTTATGAAAAATAAAAACTGTTGCATAGGATATTGGTTTTGACAGTTTTCATTGTTCTCTATAATAAAGTTGCAGTATTCCACGTTGTATTTGACATTTGCCCTCCTGACCGTTTGGGGAACTGTCTTTGAAAAGATTTTTTAAAAAACAAAGGTTTGCCAATGATTTCAACTGCCTTGTTGATATAAAAGCAAGGCTGCAATGGGTATTTTTGAATATACTTTTGTGCCCTAAGGAAAAATAATGGCTAATCAAAAACATCCCTACCTATTAAAAAAATCAGGTACATTAGATTCCTTTCCTTTTTTGAACATCATCTATGTTGACATATTCAAAAGAAAGATTAGAATAAGCTGATTATGTGAGGTTCTCAATTACTTTTCATTGCTTTAAACATTGAAAGTAAATAAAAAGCCCTGCATATTAGTCATAATCAAGGTTGGCCCCTCTCTTGTGAATAACCTGGGGATGCTGTGAGCTGAAGTGGTAAATATCTGGGAAAGAAAAACTAGGTTCAAGTGCATTAAGTTACAAGGTCTAAAATAGACACACCTGGTGCATTGCATCATAGGAACCAGAAGTAACACAAATTTAAATGCAACGCGGTAGAACCTTCAGCCCTGTCAATGCGAGTAAATGTGCCCTGGAACTGTGCATGCAGAGGGCAGTTTATTCACAGTGGGACCTAAAAGGCATGTTAGTCAGTGGTGCAGAACCAGTTCTGCTGTTGATGTCAGTAAGAACAGCGAGTATTGCACCTTATATTGATGAAGTCCAAGAAAACAAAAGGAAACAAACTCTTCAACTCACCGTTCCTGTTGTGCCCAATGAAAGGTGATTCATCTGTTGTGTCAAGGGGCCCATCATGTTTGCTGGCTGCATTGACATAGGATGGTCCATTGTTGGCGTAATCACAGCACCCTATAAGCACACACAACGTCCAACTGAAAACATGTTCCACAATGAAGGAAACTTTAAAAAAATAAACACAGTAGCTGTGTTAACATCATACGTGCTTACTTCTCACTAAAAAGGCTAACTTGAGCCATGTGTGATTTTTACATCCATGCATTTCATTTTGTGCCTGTCTAAATATGTAACATTAGCGACTTTATCTCTGATGTGATTTATCTGTCATTGTCATTTATACTTCCAATATTCAATGTAGAATGTATTCTAAGGATATCAGATACATCCTCTCTCACTGTTCTAATACAAACTTCTCTGACTGAAAAATATAAATACTATGGAAATTCTCTAATTGTTCTTGATGTTGAGTAAAACTTTCGTTTTTGTCATTTACCCAGGATTTATACAGATAATTCTTGATCACCTTAATACAACCTTCCCTCAGGGGGATAATTCTGGTCCAGATGGGTTTCTTGACGGGATACCTTTAAAGGACATATTAAAATCTAACACAAATGTTATAAAAATCAAAGCTACTATTTCCCATAGTTTTTCCTCCTAATCTTTTGACCTACTTTCTTTCTATCTGTGCTTTTGACACAAGCCTAGAGGATACTAAACTCTGCTAAACGCTGGTCAAATGAAACAGCACTGAAATTTTTTTAAATGCAAAAATATCAAGTGTTTCATCATGGAAAGGCCTACTTCTAGAATATGCTTTTTGATTTATCATAACTGTTGGAAATGCAAGAAATAATAGACATAAAAAAAAATTCTTTCCATATACAAAGTGTCACATGGCCCATGAAGCCTGGAGCCAGGCCATACTACCCTTCCCTTCCTTGTCCTTTCCACTATCCTACTATTCCACCTTAATTGACTAACTTAGAGAATGGAAAGGTTTTCTTTTTTCAATTGAAAAGCTAGGGTTGGAGGGAACCTTTGAGACTGTATAATTCCAGTGCTCTATTTTAAAGACAGTAATAAAGGCAGAAGCTCATTTAAATACCCAGTGGTAGAAAAATGATTATGAATCTGAATGCTATTTTTTTCTGTAAACATTATTTTTCTATGTGACTTTTTTCATATAAGTAAACATTTTGAAGAAAAAAAAAAAAAAGATTCATGTGGATGGAAGGATCTCGGCACCCAAACTAATTACCCACAAGCAAATATGTCCTAAAATGCCTTAGCTCAGGATAATCAGTTTCTCGTGCTATTATCCAAATCCAGCTCCCTGACTGTACCTGTTAAAAGATCAGGCTGTCACTCAGCCTTCCTTGTGGGCTCTACCTCATCAATATGGAAGGAAAATAGAAACTGAACCATATATTTGTAAATGATTGATATACAGAGCTAGCTTTGTTCTCAAAGACGTTTGGACTTTTGAGCTAGAATCAGTCAAAACACATATGTTATTTTATAATCTGTAGCTTGTAAATAGACATAGTTGTGCATTTGCATTGCTTGAATTTCTTGATGCTTCCATAAACTGTCATTCATCAGAATGCTTCTCAAATGAGAGACATGATAAGCTTTTACTTAATTATAATTCAGAGACACAACACTTTTTCTTCCAGCTGCCTGAATTTAACAAAAGCATCTTTACTTTTTCCTTAAAAAAAAAAGAAAAAAAATTACTAGCCTTTATTTCAGGTATTTGTCATATCAAACTAGCAGTAAATACTTTGAGAAGAACTGAGACGCTTCTTAAATCACTTAGGGATAAACGATAGAATAATCTCAGAGTTAAGACAGAAGTTCTGAAGCATTCTTTTTTTAGCCAAAATGTGGCACTTTCACAACATTCTAATCCTTAGCAGGTGCAAGACTTCAATACTCTTCTTGAACTTGAAATTTAGGCTATCTTCTTAGAATATTTGCCCCTAGAGGTTCTGACACACAGCTAACTTGTGACAGTCCCGGAAACCCCGCAATTCTAATCAGATTGCCCTAGTCACATAAAGAATTGTTCATCATATATCAGAGATAAAGACCAAATTGTGTTTGGCCAGGAAACTTTCTTCGCAATGCCCTAGGGGTGACCTCACTCCCCAGCAGTGTGAGAGGTAGTCTTAAGTCTTTTTTTGGGGTGGCAACACGTAAATGAGATAAGGTGAGCCTGTGACAGACAGATAAATCAAAATCCATGCATGATAAGTATAGAAGGATTGAATGTCTGCATTTGGAATTAATTTCAGAAGGATCGTCTGGTCTCTTTAGAGAATCTTTTCATGGAAAGTGCTTGGGGACTCATTTGATTACAGATGCCACAGAGTGAACACTGCTTCTGTGTATAAACCAGAAACCTGACAATCAAAGGGAAGAGTGCGTGCGTGTGTGTGTGTGTGTGTGTGTGTGTGTGTGTATGTGTGCTGGGGGGAGGGATGTGTCATCATTTAGAATTGGAAATAGCAAAGCTAGGCACGGAAGACAATGTAAGAGAAACATTCCTAACCAGGCCAGCTATTGCAAATAAAATGAACAACGAAATAAGGCTTCTTGGGGGAGGACACATCAGGTCATACATTCTTATTCAAATTTAGTAAAAATGTTCAAGAAACACAGGATTCCAACAAATGATTGAAATCATACATTTCTTAAGAATCTCAAGGGATGGAAGAAACTTACAAGCAGTAAGTTGGAAATAGCAGACAGGAACCCCTTGGGGAAACACATTGTCTTGATGGTGCTTTACTAGGGACAGACAACTTAGGGAGTTTGAAGTGCTGGTTATCTACAACAAAGACTGGGCTTTGCCAGTCACTGTGTTCATCAATTGCAATTCAGCTACAGAATCTCTTTTGTATTGTGTAAGACATGAAAAAGTGTGGGGGAGAGAAAAAAGAAAGAAAAAATAACAAAAAAGGAAGAGAAAAATCTATGGTTGTTAAGGCAAAATTATAATCGTGCCTCATTAAATCCCTTCCCATCGGATGCATTTAAGCCATAGACTGAAGAGTGTTTTGTGACAGATGTTGCCAACACATTAAGGGTAATTTCATTTACTCGAAAGGTATAGAATGTGCTGTCTGACGGAGTTTGCTTGGCAAATGGCAAAGCAAGAGGAAACAGATTTTTCATTTTAGCATCTCCGGATGTCTGGGTTTGCTCAGTGTTTAAGCTGCAAAGAAAAATACTGTAACATGCTGCGATTCCACTAAAAAGCACAATGACCAGACAGCTGATGGGACTGCCTGGTCTGTTTTAGCCACGGCCTCTGCAAAACAAAGCTGTTCACACTCAAGTGTCATAGGGTGGAGCCGTTTGCCCTAATTCTGAAATAAACAATTTCAACAGGATTTTGAATAAAGTTTCCAAAGATCACTGATGTGGAATAAATATATCTGACCTAAGGCCACAAAAGCATCTGTGTTGTTAACCTCCTGCCAATATTTGAAAGAAATTTTAAGTCTAGGAGAGTTCATTGATATTTTAATTTTCTAACAGAAATATAGGATCATTGGCAAATTGGGGAAAACACCAGCAAGGCTCTCTCCCATCAAGAACACACATAGCTGGTTTAAAACCTACATTAATGCCATGATATGGACCACAATGAGAATTACCTGTATGAATGTTCCTGTGAATGTCAATATTCTAGGCCAGTGCCACTCCAAATAAGATCAAGAATTTAAATTCGACTCTCTGGGCTTCGGGCATTGGAATCTGTGTTTTAATAAACTCTCCACCAGCTTGAGTGTGTTTTATAATGCACTGAACTGGCAAAACTATGGGCATTGAATTATTCAAAACATGGTAGGTGAAGGAGTGATATGTGGGGAGGAGGTGATCAAAGAAATCAGTGAGACTTGATATGTCTTGTTATCTCATTTTATTTACCTTTTAGAACTCTTCCAAATATCAGAGGAAAGAAATCAGTATCAATTTTCACCTGTCACGTTCCACACTTCAATTATTAACGAATGTCAAATTTGACCACAGTTTTCTGTACCACCTGCTCTGCAATAATATTTCTGAGCCTTTATTAAAAATGTAAAATTGTCGTTGAATTTCCAAAAAAAAATAAAATAAAATAAACTCTCCAAATGATTCTGATGCCGCCTAAATTTGAGACGTGTGCTCTGTCTATAAACGGCTATTGTATAAGTCAGTGCTACAAATACTTGGTCTTACTTTATTTATACTGTTTCTCAATTATTTGTTTTAAACCAATCTTGTGATAGGGTATGAGCCTTTGTGTAGTAATTATATTACATTTTGTTTAAAAATGCAAAGAGGTCAAGCCTGCATTTTTGACGAGCTGAAATGGGGTGATTATCTGAGTAATTCAGGCCTCAGTCTGATGATCTGACATGTTTCTTTTTGATCAGTGTGCTTGTGTTGGAGCACATTTAAAATTCCTTCCTGTTTGGAATCTTAGGGAGCCTTGAATCTGAAATCACAGAAATGTAAAAGTATTAATAAAAGGTAGGAAAATTATAACATGAGTGAAAAAAAGGAAAAGAAATATCACCCGCTTTCTCCCTCTTGTCCAATCTAGATGCCTCAGGTCAAAATGTTTGCAGCCCAAACTGGTATATATAGGACGGATAAACAACAAGGTCCTACTGTAGAGCACAGGGAACTACATTCAGTATCCTGGGATAAACCATAATGGAAAAGAATACGAAAAAGAATGTATATATGTGTATAACTGAGTCACTTTGCTGTACAGCAGTAATTAACACAACATTGTAATTCAACTATACTTCAATTAAAAAATAAATTAAAAATAAGAAAAAAACGAAAAGAAATCTTTATGTTTCTTCCAAAAAGAAAAAAATGTTTGCAGCCCACATTGTGCTCTTTTCCTATGGTCACTTATGCAAAACCATAGGACTTGTTAGTAGTAATCATTCAACACGACTTAAAAAAATGTGGTTTAAGGTCATTTGTCTTCTTTCTCATCTGTGTGTTTTCTGGTTCTCAGTTTTTAATATTTCTAGAATAAATACCTAGTGGAGTTTGTGTACACCAGGCTATTTTTAGCACATGTGATGTACAGAGAA